GGGCATGACGTGCTGTGGTATGGAATACCTCTTTGGCTAGTCTGGGTCAGGTGTCCTTTCTCTGCTTCCTCCCAGCTTCCCCTCCTCCCTGCAGAGCATGAGGTTCAGAAAGTCCTTGGTCAGAGTAACCATTACTGAGCAGCAACTAAAACCATCGGTGTTATAAGCGCTGTTCCCAGGCTGAAAGTCAAAAACACAGCGCTGCACCAGCTATTAAGGAGAAAAATGACTGCTACTGCTGAACCCAGGACACACTCTCAGCCTGGCTCCAGAGCACAGCTGCTCCAGCCCTTGCAGCAGCTCTGTGGCCTCCTCTGGACTCGCTCCAGCAGCTCCATGTCCCTCTGTTGTTGTTGCCCCAGAGCTGAATCAGGACTGCAGGAGGTTCTCCCCAGAGCACAGTAGAGGGGGAAAATCCCCTCCCTTGACCTGCTGCTCATGGTCTGGGGATACAGCCCAGCACATGGCAGGTTCTGGGCTCAAGCATGCACTGCTGGGTACAGATACTCTCTGTGGAGATACTTGTTTTCCCCCAAAGTTTAGCTTTACTAGATCACACATTCAGAGGACCTGCTAGAATTGTGCAGGTGTATGAATTGCCCTATGAGCAGGAACAGATTTAACTCACAATGCACTCAACCAGCAGGACCCAGCACGTTGGCAGGCCTTGCTCCACAGGGCTGTATCTGAAGGAGCTAGTGTTTTTTTTACAGAAGCTGAGGGGTAAGCAGGGTTGAACACACATCAGCAGAAAAGCTGCTGCCATGAAGAGGAGCTCCTTATGGCTGGGCAGACTACCAACCAGCAGTGAAGACACCAACTATGGCTAAGTAGATCCAATAAGCCAGGTTTGCCAGGAAAGCCACTGTGCCCCTTCTGAATCCAACATACATCAGACTGGCAGAACTATCTCTGCAGAGACCTGCAGATTCCTGGTGCATGAGCAAGCAGCAACACCTGGTTGCAGATGACAAAGGGATGGAGGCATTGCAAGGGAGGGGAGAAGGTAAAAGAGGCAGGAAGCTATTCAAGTGGCTCAAAGCACAGCGTAGGTGCTATTCTCCCAGCAGCCATTGATGAGATGGTCACATCAGTCATCTATTATGCATCAGCTACCGCCAGAAGCTGCTGACACTGACAGGAACTGCAAGGGCCCTGCCTTTGTGGCATCACCCAGGCACATCTTGTAGTCTGAGGACTGGAACCATGACACTCCTCATCTGATTCAGCCACTGAGTCACTGACATCATGTGGGTCTTCAGCCTGGGATACATAAACCTCTGCTTTGCATTCCCCCTGCTCCAGCAAAGGAGCCACCACAAGTGAGGTACTCTGGCTAAATCTCCTCTCCTTCTGCCAGTGAGCTCAGCCCAGTCTAGAAGCTAAGTTTGCATTCCTGCCTTTCTCCAACAGGAAGTGGTCTTCTGACCATGCACGGACAAGACTTCACCTTGCAGAGTCTCCTTGAAAAAATAAGTTTGTCCTGTTCAGATTTTAGGGGCAGGAAGACCACCATGAGATTACATGGTCTCGTTGAAGAAAGCATGCAACTGATCATCTTACAAACCCAAGCCCTAGAAACCCAGGTAAGCAAAGCACAGTGCCAGGCCTGGATGAAACAGTGTAATGCTTATTACTATTTAACTGACAACCATGTGTTCAAGCATCATAAATATACAAAGACAGCCTTTGTCCCAAGGAGCTTCAACTTTCAGCACATTGCTCCTCACAGCTCACCTCCCATCCACCACGCTCTTCCTCATGCATTTGGCTTTGATATGAAAGAGTCACCCAACCAAATTCTAGCAACACTCAGATTGCTTTGCTGTGTGAAACAGCTCCTGCTCGTGCAGGAATCTGTGCCCTAAGCTGCGGATGTAACTGAACAGTAATTAAGCAATGAAACTGCCAACCAGAAAACCTGTTGTTTAGCTGTAACCACAACAGAGACAGCGGCAATCTTGGCCCTGGCAGAATTTTATCTTCTTTTTCTTTTCATTTATAAAGCAGCCCATTCCACACACACATACTTTACAAACAAATCTCATTCCTGTTGTGACACGAAGATCTCCATCCAACTCCAACACCTTAAGTCTCAAAGGCTTTGCTGGAGCTGGCCAGGCAGATTCACTTTAACAAGAAAACCCAAAACGAATAAAACTGAAACAAAATCCAGAGATATATCAAGTTGTAAGAGCAAAGCCCCTGGCGCTGCAGGAGCACAGCGGTGCTTGCCAAGCATTTCAGCATTAGTGCCCAGCTGAACCAGATCCCACACGCTCTGTGGCTCTTCTGCTCAGCAAAGCAGAGTAAATCTGGTGGGGACAGAACCAGCAGCGACTCTTTATCATCCTGCCCCCATGTCCTTGGTTCCATCTTGTGCAGGCTCATGCCCAGCACCCTCTCTTCCCACTGTAGCAGGAAAGGCATTACAGGGATGTGGTTTGGGATGTGGGAGGCAACGTGGGAGCTGGTGGGCGTTCAAGCTGCGAGTGGATTAACTGCTTATTTATCCTCACTTTAATTAGAGCCAACACCTCAGTTCATGACTGCTGATAACACAGAAGCACATTCTCAGCTACACTGAGCTGAAAATAGGCTGAACATGGGCCGCAGGTTAATTCCCAAATCTCACACCACAGCCCCTGATTTAGGGCAATTGTTTCTGTTCTTAAAGTGCCTGCAAACCCAGAAGAGAGCAATCAGCTGAAGCGGGGCTGTAGCTGGCTTCATCCCACCCTTTAGTCCAAGCAAGTGGCTTTTAAGCGCTTCCTGCTCAGTTCCTTCACAAAGCACCATGCAAAAGCAGGTACTTTCCTTCCTTCAAATGCCCAAGCATAGGTGCGCACCCACATTGCAATGAATATGGCCCTCAGCCGCACTGCCCATAGCCAGTGACACTGCAGAGTAACCCTGCTGTGAGCAGGACAGGGACGTTACCATTTCCTAACATCTAAAAATGACCAATTTTTGACTCTCCTCTCAGAACTGGGGATTCAGCAGCTGCTCCGGAGAGAGGATTATGGAGCTGATCCTTCCTGTGTAATCATAAATCCATTATATTTTAGACTTTTTTGTTAAATTAACTCATTGACAGTAGCACTACTGCTTCTGCATGCTCTGATCTTTGCTAAAAGGTGTGAAAGTGAGAGGACCTGGAGAACAGCAACCGCAGCACTCACATTTTCACTGGGAGGTGTTGATTAGCAGACTTCAGAAGAGCTCAACTAAGTCCTCTGTGTGAGCCCCTGTTAAAAAACAATTTATGCACAAAAGCAGTTTAAGCTAAAGGCAAAGTGGGGAACAGAGGCTTGGCCTCAGTGTGACCTGCAAAGGCAGAAATGCTGCTCTAAGTCCTCAGGAAGGTGCTCCACAGTGAGAGCAGCTCCCAGAGTGGTTTTGTGCTCCCTCACTGCTGCTCAGGTTTGGCTTTTAAAGACATAACATTCCATCTGTGACCCACACATTCTGGAGAAACTGTATCCAAATTCTCTTCCCAAGAGCTCCAGCACTGGGAGAGAAGGATTTTATTACCATTTTTTATTACTGAGTTATGATTATACAAAGAGTCACAGACCCAAAGCTCAGTGCCTGTTCATTCATATACTCTCTGCAGTGTCCCAAACATAAGATGATTTTTTGCTTCATGCTACTCAGGTTACAAACTAACTGGTTAAACCGAGTTATCTTGGGATACTACAAGTCAGCCCAGCTCCTGAACATCAAGCAAAATGGTCCCATGGACATAACTAACGGCACAATTCACCTCCATAGGAGGGACAGGCCTGACAAGCCTAATGAGGTACACATACAAGAAGACCATAAACACCCAGCTGGGTTTTGTCCTTGCTTTTCCAGACTGCTTTTACCCTAGCTGTGTGCAGGGCACAGTGATCATCCATGATAATCCCTGTTGCTGTGGATTCTTGAAGCAGTCATGAAGAGGGAATGGAAGATACAGTGAAATGCACCTGAAGTAACACACAGCAGCTGTCCTAGCAAGACAACCAGAAAGTAAACTGCAGGAGAGGGGAGAGGGGCCAGGCAGCCTCAGAGAGAGGTTGTGCTCCCACTGCCTGCTCTTGTGAAGATCTGCCCCGGTGAAGGGGAAGGAAAATGATTTCATGAGTCAGTGTAACATGACAGACACTAGTTATAATGGTCGATCACCCAGTGAAAGTGGCACACATTTAGACTGAAGCTGCTAACTGCAGACTCTCTTCCTTGGGCTTTGCTGTGACACCACTCTACACAAGCAAGATCACCATTCTGAATAAAAAGCCTAGAAAAAAGCTGTTGCACATGGTGACAAGTGACTTTCTTTCAGACCTCAGGGCAACGGGGGCACAGCCTTTCTGTGCCTGTCAGGTGAGCTCCTGAGGCGGCCAGCTGCAGGGACCATTAAAAACCTCAAACATGTTTACAAACCTAAGAAAATTTTATTATTGCATCCTATTAAATTGTCCTTGCCAAGAGCTACAGCTACTTCCATCTCAGTTCTTCTCTTACCTAGTGCTACAGTGCCAGCTTATGCATGAAGTAATCCTTTGCCATCTTCTGCCCAAAACACCTTGCAGCCTTCAAGCAGATTATTTCAGTGTTTCTGTTTTACAGAAACATATCAATGGATCTATAGCTCAGGACCACTTACTCTCCATAAGGAAACGAGGAGGAGCTGCTATTGCTCTGTAAAGACAGGACAAGTTAGTTCACGAGGCTCTAGGAGTCATCCTGCAACGGCAAAGCCCAGGTACCTCCCAGGGCAAGGAGGCTGCACTCAACAGAGCGGTAACCAAGAATATGGCAGGGATCATACCAGGCAATATGCATAATCTTTATTCCAGTTCTGAATTGGAAAGAGCACCACCTCCACAGCCAGTGTTTGACAGCTCAGTCAGCACAGGGAGAGGTCACGCTTGCCCAGTGGAGGCACAGACTTGGAAGCAGTCCTGTAGGCACTTTGAGAGGAAGCTCAGCTTCAAAGTACAAACACTGACCAGTTTGGCTTAAATTTTTAATATAAAAATTCACTAAAAATGCTAAAATGTGACAAACCATTGGAAATACTGTGACAAACGTTTCCCCTTACGCAGTAAAAAAACAAAACAAACCCAAGAAGCTCTGAAATTCTTGGATGGACTTCTTCTTCCTCCTGGCACATGAGACCACCATCTACTTCAAACGTTCATCTTTCATAGTTCTAAAAAAAAATCTATGGCACCTTCACCTCATACTTCAGTTCAAGAGGCTACTCTCGATGGACCAGCACAAACAGACCCAGGAAAAAAAGGACTGCATACTGTAAGAGAAAGGAGACACAAGAACGCATGCTCACATCTAAAGATGCAGTAACAGCAGCAAACACACAGGGCAAATGGTTCTGCCTGTGCTTGTAAAGTTCTCATGAAGTAATTTTAGCTGGGGTGGGAGAAGCAGGCAGAAAATGAAAAGAGCTCTTACCTTAAATTTTGGATAATCATTCATTAAGATAGTCACTATTCCAATATAGGGCACAAATCTACAAGAATAAAGGTTTTATTAAAACCTATTCAAAGCTGCATGTTGGAGAAGCACTGCCCTGGTACTTTAACAAATGAAGAGCCACTTAAGCATGCTGAGGGCTATGGTAAACTTGCTTAACAGGCCTGGGACTTCCTCCCAAGTAGGGAAGCCACTGCAGTGGGGGCCAAGTGACAATCAGCCCCAGAGCATGTTTTAGCCTCTGCCCTGTTCAGCTCTCACCTGCCTGTAAAGACTCTGCCTTGCAGACTGATATTGATGGGAATTCCAGTCACGCCTGAGCGTGCGTGGACTTTGCATCAGTGTCCACCCAGGATCAAAACCTCAGGATGCAGCTCAGGGCTTGATACCTTCGCTTAAGCCCAGCCAAGAACTGAACTACCTTTGGTTTTTAACTCTCCATAGTACCTTTTGAAATGCTTTCAGGCAGGTTACATAAACCCAGCAGGGAGAGTTCAAGAGGAAGAGGAGGATTAACAGATGGCACAAGGGGAGGGCAGTGTAAAAAGCAGCATCTTTTTCAACTTCACTTACCCTCTTGCTCGTCCTACTACATCCTTTTTCTCCAACCAGTGCTGCCCTCGTTTGTACAGCCCTCTGTCATCAACAGCATTATTGTCTCCCTTTGTCAGAAATTTGATGTCACCATTTTGCCTAGCAAAGGAAAGGCAGCCAGGTAAGTCAGAGAATAACTCATTAAAAGCTGTTCTAGAGCGAGCACATAGAGACTAACACAAAGGTTTTAGAAGCAGTCATGTCCTACGTGTGAAGCAAAATGAAAAAGGAAACTCTGTCAAATGCAGTGGAAAGCAGTTTGGAGGAACACTGCCAATGAAAGAATGAATTCTGGCCCCAGACAAGCTTTCTAGCAGAGCTGAAGAACGCAACCAGCAGGATGAGACATTTCTAGCAAAGGTGCAGCTACCACCTCTTTGCTTTTGACCTCTCTCATGTTGATGCTTCTCTTGCTTCATATACAAATGTTGGGTGCCGGGCTCTGTACTATCACCCAAAATGAGATCTGGGGTTAAATCATACAGTTCTAGACAGTGGTGGTCAGAAGCAAGCTGAAACTTAGAAATTATTAGGAAAGGGGGATAAAACAAAGCAAACAATACCATTATGATACTGCATGAACTCACAATGTGCCTACATCTTGAATGCTCTGTGCAGTTCTGAACCCCCTACATCCTTTTTTGAAATGGAGAGAAGAACTGGCAAAGGCTCAGAAATGGGTAACAAGGTCTGGAACCACTTCCATACAAGAAACAACAGACCAGGACTCTTCAGCCTGGAAAAGACAGAACTGATGGGAGATACGTTGGTAGTCCAATGCAAATGACACAGACAACAACAATAAAACAGCTTTTCACTGCCTCTTCCAATACCAGACTGAGAGGGCATCAAATCAAACTCAGAGATAACAAGTTCAAACAAGCCAGAGAAGGTGCTAAGCAGAACCAACAACAGTGCAAACATCTCACCGGAAGGGTGTTTTGGATGCCAAAAAATTGTATTAATTCAAAAAGTGACCAGATACTCCATGTGAAAAAGTGAAGGAGGCCATTAATAACAAACTGTGACTGTGCCTGAAATCATAATGTGCTAAAGCAGGGAAATTATCACTAAATACTCTCTCTAGTCTTTAATTCATCCTGAGATTAATTAGTCAACTTGCCAAAACCAGAATCCTGGAGCAGACAAACCTTTGACATGGAAACAGCTGCTCTTATGCTCTAGCTCTACACACCACATTGTGCATCCTTCCCAGTCATTTCCATTCAGTGTGCTGGGGAGTCAGCTCTGCTGTCTTCCAAGCAGCAGCCTGTGCCACTGCTCGGGGTTCAGTGACCACTGTCATCTCCCTGTGGCATCTGGAGGCAGATGCTGAGCAGGAGCATTCTCCATGCTTGACTCTGTCAGCTTATTCACAGAAATGACAAATTAAATGCAACACAGGAAAGCATGCAGAAGGTCTTCAGAGCTCGTGCTGTTTTCATCATGCCTGAATAGCAGCACGTGTTACTTACTCAACAGGAGAAGCTTGAAAGGAAAAAAAGGTGGGGAAAGAACAGATCTTTCTTCAAAGCACATTTGTCTCCCTGTGTAGGGACAACAAACTCTAGAACTTACAGATACAGTCTGGAAAAAGAAGATACCCAAACATAGAGAGAAAACAGTTATCTCTGCAGACTGATGGTGTAGGAGCACACCATCTTACTGAGGAGATTCAATGGTCTACCATGAATGAGCACAAGAAGCCCACAGCACAGTTGCTCTGTCTGAAAGGTGACTAAAATCTGCTTTGGCTGCCCTGCACCAAAACCACCAAGGAAGTTTTGACTACAGACTGTGTTTAGTGATAAAGAATGAATTCAATTTCAGTCTGAACAAAGAAAAAAAGATCAGCAAGGAAAAAACATTTTCTCCCTGAAACAATACTGATGTGAACTGGAGCCCAAACTGCTAGAAGATCCCAGGGAACAGGGTTTCTGTTTTCCCTCAGCTTCACACTCGTCAGCTTTTGCAGAGACTTTTCACATTCATATTCACTTTTCACATTTCATATTCAATCCATGACTACAGGAAGAAATGGGAACTCCATCCATTCAGAAGATACTCCCAAACTCTAAACTGGCACCAGAAAAAGTATTCTTTAAATAATTAAAAAAGCAACTGATACCCAAGCCCTGCCTGCTGGCTTCTGCCTGACTTAAGGTCACTGTAGGGATTTTTCAGTTTATCTTTCCTAACATAAAGTTCAGGTTTTTATTTGGTTGTTTTATTTAAATGAAATCTAAAATATTGGAGAATGGTTTTACTTCACAGAATCAAGGACTGGCACTATAGGCCTGTTACTTAAAATAGGAAAAGCTCTGGATACCTTTATAGTGCTGAGACAGAGCCAAGCAAAAAGTGTAGGGTGGGTAATATCTCAAGATGAACTGACACATAGAATGCACATTTCTGCTTCCCCTTCCTAGATAGTGGCTGAGAGTGGAGAAAGAAGACCTTGAACTTTGTTGCCTCCTCAATAAACAGCCCAAGCAGCACTGGAGCCCAGCTGAGACTTTAGCATGCAACAGGGGAGGAGGAAAGTACCATTTCACTTAAGAGTTCCCAAGACATCTCAAAAAGTGCAGGTGCAACATTAGATTACAGATTTATCAACTATACTGACCTTATTTTTGAATTAGTGGTATCAAAGTGGTACTTTGAAAACTGGCATTGTTAAAAGATTTGAGTACAGAGTAAATCTGAACAGCAAAGACTGCTTTGTCTGCTGGGAGAGGTGTCACCCTCTCATAGCCAGGATTTCAGCTGGACTATTTGTGTGCATGAACCTGGCTGACCTTGTTGTTGGGCCAAACAAATGACCTGGGTGTCTCAACAGCTATGGCTGCCATGAATGCTTGGGGGAAGGCACCTTTCTCTATCCCCTCAACCTCGCTTGACTGGAGCAGTCATCAAATGCCACCTTTACACATGATTCAAGTAATTCTCTTAACCTAGGAACAGATCTCCGAGTACTGGTATAGTTCCAGTTCATGCATCTTCCAGCAGGCAGAAACAGATGCTGCAACCCCATCCAACTGCTGCCCTCTCCGAGCTGGCTTGAAGAACCAAGGATTCAGTGCAAGATTTAATTTTTGCTCAAATGCCTCATGGGGAAGGCTCATTTCCCCCCAGACTGGCCAGAAGCAGTCACAGCATCCAGCAAAACAGAAAGGCTCATGGCTGCTGAGGAAGCCTTGCTTGAAAATCAAGCCCTGTTCAGCAACCAAACCAGAATGACTGTGCTTCATTCCTTCAGACATGCAATCTGACAGACGTTCAGAGAATGAACAGGATATGGACAGCCCAATGCATAGAGACCGTGAGTGTAAGACTGCCAGACTTCCTACAGAGGAGAAAAGAAACACCCTCCCTCTGCATGACAGCAGAAGCCAGGGAGGGTTCTGCTTTCTTCCACAAAGACAAACTTTAAAATAATGCACTCTACACACAAAATACCCTTCTTCCATCAGTTCTCCCTCCACAGACAAGAACAACTTCACACACAGAAGTGCAGCTGTGCCTACAGGTGACAATACGTAGTACCTTGGGATGGAAATGATGGCACAAGAAGACATTAAGTGACATGGGGAGTCCAGGTTACTCGCACAGACCTTCTGCATTCTGCTGGATTACCTTTACAAGTAAACCAAGGAGGGCAGATTTTGTCTGTCTGAAACTTATGTGCTGCTTCCTACAGCACCTGGATACCAGTTACTGATGTCACACCCGTTCATTTAACCAAGGAGATGAGGAAAAACATAATTTAGCTTAACATCCTGCAGTACAACCCCCCAGATTCTTAACATACTTCTCATGAATTTTCAGGACACGATGGACTATAGGAATTTCCCTTCCTTCTATCCTAAAGACCACGATTTCTCCCACTCTGATTGGATCTTCAATTCGATTTGTGAGGAACAGGAGATCTCCTCTGTGAAACGCAGGCTCCATGCTGCCACTGAAAAAGAGAAAAGGAGCAATTGAACAATATTTAACACTCAGAATCAGGTTTTGGAGATTACATTTCTTTAAGAAAAATCTCACAAGAACCTCAACAATGAGCTCCTTAGAAAACCACCCTGGAGACCAGGCACTGTTGAACCCCTATCACAATCAGATTTTAAATCCCCATCGTACCAGCAGTTTAGATTTGCTGGGAAAAGAGCACTGCCAGCAGCCGGTGTTAATATCACACCAAATGGGAAAACCCTTCTGCTTTCTTCATAACAGCAAAGCTGATGACAAGCAGCAGCTCTTGACTTCTGAGCTCTTCACTGGTAGAACTTCCACAGTGGTGGGAAGCTTCTTTTCATAGAAACAGCGAGGCTGGAAAAGACCCTTAACATCATCAAGTCCAATCTTTGTATTTCATTTGGTTTCTTTTTTTGCAGGCAGGTAGATCCTCCTCACTAACAAAGCTCTGAACACACACAGGCTCTGTATTCCCATCTGGAACAGACAGACGGGTGTGCTAAAAATCTGCTACCATGATTCATGGCTTTGCTTCCCGATCTCATTTCAGGCACTGCTATTCATTTATTTTAGTCCTGTCTTCTAAATGGCAATTGTTACAAAATACTTAACCTTCTTCATTCCAAATAAATAATGCAGTCCAAAACAAAACGATGAACTTTAAGTACCATGTATATTCATGGCTTATCTTGAGGCAGCACGGAAGCTGCTACTCAGAAGATCACATTGCTGAAGAAGTGACGTGACCTAACAGCCCCTGTCTTACTCATTGGAGGAACAGCATGAAGTATGTCCCCTGTACTTATAGGTGATTAACACCAACACAGAAACACACAGAGAAGGCACCGCAGCTACAGAACAGGCCCTGGGCAGTATCCACACCAGCGGCCGACAGCTGCCCAAGGAATCTGTCCCAGGCGGTAGGAGGGTGGGAGTAACACCGGTGGTACCAACTGCACCGCACTTCTGTGAGGGCAACGTGCAATACCTAAAACATATCCAGTCACAGAGCAATAACCCTTACATAAAAGAGTACAGCTAAGGCTCCCCTTTCTCTGGCCATGCTATAGCTTACTAGAAAGCCAGGGGAAAACCAAGCCACTGTGAAAGATGAGTATTTTTAAGGATGAACTGTAACATGTAATAACACTCCCCAGGCATTTCAGGGAAACAGCAAATCCTTTTAACTGCAAAACTTTATCCCCTGGTGTCTCAAATCAACTCCCTTTTCACTCACCAAGACTCATTTGGTACTTCACCTATCCATGCGGCAAGACTGGCCAGCACCATGGAGATACCACTGCGCTGCGGTGTTCTGCTACACCTTCTGCTATGGGAAGTGCAGTTACCCTTGATGACAGGATGGGCTGTGCCACAAACACTGTGTTTATACAGGGATAACACACACACACACGCACGCACCCCAAGCTTCTCTGCTTCAAGGTCTTTTTCATGGCTCTTTCACCTGCACCACCGAGCATTTCTCCAAGAGGTTTGATATGATCCAGAGTTTCGCTCTTGCTGTATTTCTTTGAAGTCCTTCCTCCCCTTCACCCATCCTCAGGGCCACCCCTCTAGGGTACAACCCAGCAGTGACAGACGCAGAAGGAAAAGATGCTGGTTTCACTGCAGGCTGCCGCCCATGCTTACCGGCTTCCTCTCCCCTCGCCTGCAGCTCTGCGCTACCCGGCAGGGCGAGCTCTGTGCGAGCCAGGGCCGGGCCGGGCCGGGAGCCTCCCGCTGCCCCATCCCTCAGGAAAACGCCCTCGGTCGGGTTCAGCGCCGCCGGCCCGCGGCTCTCCGGCCCTCGGCCCCCTCTCCGGAGCGATACTGGCGAACCCACCCCCCCCCCCCGTTTACCTCAGCACCACCACGATGGGGCTCTCGCTGCCCGTCACCACCATCAGCCCCTTCCAGATCATGAGGGCGGACGACACGATCATGCCGAAATTCAACACCTGGTAGTAGAGCTGGAGATCGGGGGGGGGTCGGTCAGGCCCCGCGCCCGGGCAGGGCAGACCCAGCGCACCCCCCGCCCCGCCCGGCGCCCCGCCCCTTCCCGGCCCGGACCTGCCGCTTGTTCATGCGCCGGACATCGTCCAGAAAGTCCAGCGACAGCATCGCCGGCCCCGAGCGCGGCCGCACCGGCCCGCGCGCCCCGCTTCCGCGCTCGCTTCCGCGCTCGCTTCCGCCCGCCGCGCCGCCGCTTCCGGGCCCGCCCCGGATGGGGAAGAACGACGCCAGGCAGGGACCCTTGGATGCTTTTATTTGCGATATTTCGAAGTAAACATCATAGCAAGGCACGGGCGCCGCTGCGGGTTAAACAGATACGTGGTGGCTTGGGGGTGCCCCCTGCTATCCTTAGTTCTACGTAGGCTACCTGGTAAAACATCCCCTAGGCTAACGTACACTGTATCAAAAATTACAAAGAGTCCAAACTGTTCGTATCAAAACACGTCGAGACGAGCGGGTGAGCGATCCGAATGCAATAAGATAAATAGTTCTTAAATTATTTAAACATCGTCATAGTAAACAATAATGAGCAGGGTTCTGGCTCAATGTAATTAAAAAAATAATGGCATAGGAGATACTTCTGCTGCACAAAGCGCGTGTGATGGGGGAACAGCTGAGGAAGGGGGAGTCAATATGACTATGCGGAAGGAAACGTCTACCAAGTGGCAGTAATGCTGAGCCGTGTCAGGAGAAGAGCTATGGATGGAGCACCGGCAGCCCCCCTGTGGGCTGTGACCCCCATCTGCTGCCACAGCTCAGCCCAAGCTGCAGGGAACACTGGCACCAGGTGATGCTGTCAGCAGTGCTGGGGTGGTTTCACTCCAGCTGATGCCACGGACAGGGATGGGACGGGGGTGTGTTCTCCCCTTCCTGAGATGGTGCCAACCTGCCACCCTGCGCTGCCCAAGCTCCCCTCTGGGACAAGCTGCCAGGCACCAGGCCTTGCTGCTCCCGCCCTGGGGACAACTTCCAGCAGCACAACTCCACTGACACATGGCCAAGGCATCCCCAAGGGGACCAGGCCTTCCTTAACAGGACACGTGGCTTTGAGCTGTGCTCATCTGAGGACGTGGGCTACAGAATTCTCTTTCAGGATGATTCAGGTCTGAGACATTTCATTAAACTGCATTTTGGAAAATAAGGTTGTTATTCTGGCAATTAAAGGTAAAACAGCACAACATACAGCTTGAATCCGTCCCGTGTAACACAGAAGATCCCGGATCAGCCAGCATGGTCCTGACAAGCGTGTTTTGCTGAGACGGCGTTATGAGTTAAAAAGAGTAAAACAAAGGCAGGATGGGAAGAGAAAAAACAAGCCATAAATAGGAGAAAGAAAGCAATAGGGAAGGCTCGGGCTCCGGGCAGAGGCTGAGGCAGTGCACACTTGGAGGAGAGCTCATCTTAAGGAAACTGCAGCTGCAGAAAGTGCTCCTTGATCCTCAGGAGTTGGGACAAACTCCAGCAAGGATTCTTGCCCTGCTTTCCCTTTTCACCTCTCTGGTCTGGCAGAGAGTTAGTGCTTAGGATGCAATAGCAGGGTTGGGTTTTTTCTTTTTTAGATTTCCCTTACAAATAGAGGTTAACGGAAAGCTATGTCCATCCCAAGAAATCAACAGAATATTTCAAAGATTTGCCCCATCCCCACCCTGTATTTTGAGTAAAAACCCCCCAACAAAAAAAACCCGACAAACCAAAAGGGTTTTTTTTTTTGTTTTTAAGTCTGAAGAGACTTTGAATGATTGTTCTGCGAGGTGCTATTAGGACCCTCCACGCCACACGTCTGACTGTGTTCACAAAGAGCTGAGTCACTTTCGCACTCCTTACATTTCAGATTTTCTTCTTCTGTTGTAGTGTTCATCTCACCATTATAGCCCTCGTGTCCATTCTCACCTATCTCCCTTTCTACCTTCTGCCTTGCATCTTCCTCCTCCTCCTCCTCTTCTTCCTCCTCTTCCTCCTCCTCCTCATCTTTTACTTTATGAACAATGAAGAGGTGTCTGTTCAGAGAGATGTGAGAGGTGTAGCACAAGCCACAGAACAAGCACTGGTAGGTGGAGCTGTCTGTCTTGTGCCGAGGTATGTGTTCCTGAAACTCAGTGCTGACATCTGTTGTGAATCCGCACTTGGCGCATTTCCAGTGCGCTCTCAGTTTTTTGGCTGGCTGCGCGCCCGAACCCGCAGTGGTCTCTGCCTGACCCAGCTCGTCCATTGCCATCCTCTTTGGAGATCTGGCCTTAAAAAAAATACAAGAGATTAAAAAGTTACTTCCTTGCTTGAGCCCCGGGAAGAGCAAGTACTCAATTCCACATGCGTATCTGAAGACACCTGTGGGTGAATCCACATCGGTATTTTGAAACAAACTAGACAAAGCTGTGCCACAGGACTCGTGTCATATGGCCTTTCCTCAAGGCACCCAAACCCCTCACCCCAACATGCATGATCTCAACTGCTGTCCTGCAACAGGAGACCTGGTAAGGGGTGCCTGGGCAGGAACATGATGGGGTAAAAGAATATGAAAACTTGGTGTGGGAAGGAGGAGCCCACCAAGCAGGGGCAGCTGAGGGACACGGGGATGGTCATTGGCCCAGACAATGCTTCTCAGATTTAACTGCGAGCATTCTCCCCTCCACTCAGGCTTTTTCTTCATGGCATTTCTAATGAACTCATCCCCTCATCCCACAGTGTGCTTCTCTTCCCATGAGGATGGCACACTTGCATACATCCCTTCACATGATTTTCTTATCTCCTTATCCAGCAGCACTGAGCAGTCTTTGTTTAGAATACAGCTTATAGGCTTGCATTTGCAGACCTGCTGGAGCCATGGGAAGCCTCTGGCTGTCCCTGGTTAGCCATGTGGCTCTGTTTGGGGAAGCAGCCACCAGCTCACGGAAGTGAATTCCTGGGCTATCCCACGTTTCCTTACAGCATAAATAAAGAGGAGAGTCAGTCTTGGCTGTGATCCCTCAAGAAATCAGGTGAATGATAAATTACAGTGATATGGAAAAGGTACATCTATTTTTAAAGTAAACAGAGCAAAGAAGCCCCATCAGCCAACCCTCCACTCCAAAAGACCCGAAATCAAATCAGTTGACCAGTTACACTTGCTGAAAACAAATTATACAGTCCTACTCAGGAGGAAGGCAGTTCACGTTGGGAGTGGATCTACGTAGTAAGTATTTTAAAGACAAAAAAAACCTTGTGTAACTATCAGAAAAAAAAGGAGAAAGAGGAAAAACGTAGCAGACTCATGACTAGAGCGGCAGGGGCAAACAAGGGTAATAACAATCTAAATTAGATCTGGTTACAAAGCAGACTGCAAAATGGCCAGTAAAACATAAGGCCACATGTTCACGAATATCTTGAAAAATGCAAGACATGTTGTGCAGTTTCAGCTGAAGTGCAGCTGATCCTGACACTGCCAGAGAGAAGCAAACTGGAGGAGTTGAGGACAAGAAAATCTGCCATGTGGATGAGAGGGCTTGATATAACACCTCAAGGGAATAGCTACTCGCCAGGTACATTTATTTTTCAATGAAAACGTATCAATTACTTCTGCTGTGTCTCTCTCTGGAGCTTTTGCTTTGGCCATCTGGGATAAGTCTGGGTTTTTGATGCCATGCATGAGGCTGATGTGATTCTCCAGCATGAACGGCTGAGGAAATGTCTGATTTTCATCTGTGCAGTACCTTGGAAATACAAAAAGGAAGAAAATTTATTAGAGGAAATGCCCAGCTCTTTGTTTCCATTCAAACAGTTCTTTGTTACGTGCCAAACCAATAGGTGTCACTGGAGTGGAGATGCTGGACAGTAATGTACAATTAGTTTACCAAAATATGCAGCAAATCGCTGGTTTAATAATAAAACATTACCCCTGAGAGAAATCTAGAACAGTTTAGGATTTACCACAGTAAGCATGAATGGGAATGAAAGTAGGGCACATCTTATGTACAGTCCAGTACTAAATACAGGAACTAGTGGAGATCAGGCTCACTGTGATACATGCTACAGAAGATAAATAATCAAGATGGAAAATGCAGGGGGGGGAAACAACTCTGAAATGAGAGACACAGGCACAGAGGGACCTCATGACTTGTGTAGCACCAAGGAGGCTGACAGCAGAACCAAGTTCCGCAGCCAGTGCTCCCGAGCCCACGGCAGCATCCCATCCACAAGACTATCTGTATCATGGCACACTGAAAATTCTTACATAGCTGCTGAACTTCCAACTTTAATAATAAACTAGGCAGGAGCACTCAGGAATGCATCATGTATGTAACTATTCATGTTAAAACTTGGTAGGACTTAAGAGCTGCCATTTCAAGAGCATCCGTTTCAAAAGGAGATGTGGATGTGCCACCTTGACTCCCGGATGACCAAGGTCTACTAGAAATAAGTGCCATGTCTTGCAGACACAGTAACCCACCCCCTGCAGCACAGTGAAGTACACAGAGGTCTCTGTGAAACCCAAGACTGACTGTACTCTTCTGCTGCCTGCAGTGTGACACAGGGAAGGTTCATCAGCTACACACTGACTTGAGCAACGAGGCAAATTACACTGAACTTCTCTGAAATACACAAATTGCAGCTGAAATGCAGGCAGCAAAGGATGAAAAGCATCAGCAAGGAGATGAGTGTCTCTGGGCAACAAAGATATATTTTAAAAGGAGAGAAGAAGATTCCTCCTGAGCTTCCAGTAATTAAATGACAGTCAGTAATGATGTGAAAATGCAGACATGCTCCCTGAATACTTCTTTTTTTTTTTAACAGGAACTGCTTAGATGATAGATCAATATTTAATAATGATGGATTTTTTTCTTCCTCATGGAGGGAAGATGAGAGGTTATTAAGTGATATTTATCAAAAATAAACATGTTGAAAATCAAGCGTTCCAGACAGTCTGTACTTAAGCCTTGGAAAATGAGAGCAAGTTCTCGTAACAATAACCAAGTGAATTATGAAAAAAAATACACATCAGAATGTTCTGCAATTTGTCCTAATTTAGAATTCCTTTTATGTGAGCAGAGAAAGATACTTTCCTAACCTGAATTACTCCAGTGACAAGCTTGGCAGGAGGGTGTTCAAGCAAGTCCTCCATCACTGGTGTCTCCCTACAAATTTAACAGAAGGCAGAGCCCTAAGTAGGGCAGGGGGAGAAGGGGAAATCACAGCATGAAATTTTAGAAGCC